TTAAATTTTTTCTTTATTTTTAAATCATCCCCTATCGTCTCTCTGAACCTATGGGAGTCTGCTTTTGCATTATTGTCACCGTTCGTACGATCCTTTCCGGACACTCGTGGTAAACGCATCTGCTGGTGCTTATGGTGTATGGAAACGGCTGGAAATAACGCACGAAGCATCGACTCGGTGCTATCTTTAAAACTGATCTCTCCCATTCCCGCTTCGCTCCGATATTTCGAATTTAGATTCGCGGCTAACATGCAACGCCCCGCGAGGAACCGTTAAAAATTCGTAATTTCGATGTGATTCTAGTGGACGTGTGTAAGGATAACCGTTGGCTGCCTGCATGCTCGAAATGCGAACGATCGATCGATCGCCAGACGTTGGCAGAATCGCGAGAAACAGACTATACCTACAGAGACATGTCATCGTACCGAGTCATACGACGCGTCGCGCTTTCGCGGAATAGCTTACCGACTTCGCGTTTACGTTTTGTCGAGTAAAGTGATTTAGTACAACGAGAACGAGTCTACGTAATAACAATATAAAAATCTATTCGGGATCTATAAAAATCTGACCACCCTTGTCAGGGTTTCGCAATCGGGTTAATCTGTTTCTCACGATCGATAGATTTCCTCCTATTTTTCCTTCCTTCGTCTTCATTCCTCTTTCAATTATCTTTTGAATTATCTACTTGGACACGAGAGACGCTACGTTAAGTTGCAGTTTTGTACTACGTGGAAGACGGATGTCCGTGAGAGTATTCGAGTAACATCGAAGGACAGATCGATCAGGGGTTCACTGGGTAAACGCGGATTATTCCTTGGTCGACTTGCGTGAGAAACGGAATCGTTCTTCTATCACCATAACCATCGTCCTAATGGTTGCTTAGATTTCAGTCTTACAAACGTTCGCGATTCGAGGAAGGAGGAAGGGAACCCTCTCTCCGACTCTCTCGCATGCACGCACTCTTCCTCTCATTCGCCATTTTGATCAGTAGAAAATCGCCTTAACGCTTACATATCGAACAGAAATCATATTGTTCCCGGGAGAATCGAAGGAACAACCGTTGCTTCGACGATTCTAAGCGACTAATCGTCTACGTCTAACCTCGGTAAAAATTGTGCGTCGTTAATCGTGCCTCCTCCACGTTCTTTCCTCTTTCCGTTCGCTGCCTCCGTTGCTACCCTCGCTCGCGAAAGGCCTCGAGGTGCACGCGCGCTCGATCGCGGTCCATTCTCGAATCCTTTCACGGACCAACTGTGTATATACATCGCGTATCGGGATCGTGTTCGTGACGCGAGGACGATTCGACGAAAGCTTACGACTATCTAAACGCTGACGAATTAACGCAACCCCTCGACGATCCGAAAACAAACGCCGACCACGTCTCCTCTGCGATTCGCTGGGCCCCATCGTACGCTTCACCCGCGTCGAATCGCGCCGTTGATCGACCTGGAACAACGCCTGCCGTGCAACCGATTCGTGAACACCGGTGCGCTTAAATCGTTTCAGCAGCCTTGCAAGACCTCGGGTGTGCGGGATGCGACGAAGAAGAGACGAAAGGACGTGGACCATCAGCCATCGGCTATGGTAGCGAGAAGAACCGCTGCGATTACATGAAGTAAACAGGATCGTTCTCCGCGATGGCGTCCAGCCTGGCCGGCAGGGTTTTCGGTCGCTGAGGAGCCACGGTCTTGTGCACGACCTCACGGGACCCCTTGCGTCACATGTAGGTAGGTTTCACCTTGTACGCTCTTTTCCAGACCTCGCATAGGCAAACGGTGCTGTGGAACCTGTAGAAGATCGCCAGGGGCATCGAGACGTGCGTGATGATCGTCCATGCCCACAGGCCGTAGAAGTGCAGCTGCACAGGGTGCGACTCTGCTCGCGACTTCTCCAAGGTGTTGATCGCCCACATGGCTAGATTCGTGACCAACAGGAACGTCACGATCTCTCTGCCCGGTTTCCTTCTGATCTGCTTCGCCGTGGCGACCGATCGCCTGGACGCGTCTAGGATGAAGATGGTCTGAAAGGTGGTCTGCAGCACGCTGGCCAGGGCTGTGACCAGCACCAGGACCGTGTGCTTGGCCAGGGTAAACTGGGCACCGATGATCGTGAACGTCGAGTAGATGAACATTCCCGTTTGCGCGGCTACCAGCAGGATGTTGTCCAATTCTAGGTTCCTGTTGCCGTCGTAACGCAGCTTCCGCATCTGGAACATCCCTATCAGCGTGGCCATCGTTGACATGCCGTAGAGGGTGAGCTCGCAGACGTTCACTTCTGTCACGGCGAAGCTGACTAATTCTGGACGCGATATCAGCACGAAGAACAGGATCAGGGATATGATGGTTAGCACCAGGATCAGGATGCCCACGAACAGACCTTTGTGAGCGCGGGCGCAGTCCACGCTGTAGTGATGTGGCGATCTCCTGAAGAAACGAAGCGAGGTTAAAATTGGTGAATAATCGTAGATCGGTATTGGATAATTTCGATCTTACTCGCGGATCCCCTACGATTTACCTGTAGGCGTGAGCCTGGTGTCGCGATCCCGGCGGCGTCTTGGGCTGGGAGAACGCAGCCTTGGATATGTTCTTCCACATGACGTAGAGTATCGCGGCGCAGATCAAGCTGTACTCGATGGTGCAAGGGAAGAGGAACGGGCTGGCGTCCTGGACTAACGATCCCATTATGTTCGTTCGTCGGCACTCGTACATGTGATGCGGACCTTTCAGGCCCCTCGGGAGCCTCAAGTGTTCGCCGTGGTGGTAATGATTATGTCCCCCGAGGTTAAGATTGCTCTTCGCACCTAATTTCGTTTCAACTTCAATCTCCGTTCGACCTCGTTCATCCGAGCTTCGTTATGCTCGTGAGACGGCGTGATTATCTAGATACTAGCGGCTACGTGTGCATGCAACCTGCGACTCCTACCTAATCTGTGGGAGATCTTCAGCGTGTTGTTCTCCGGGTTGTAGAACGTCAATATCTCGTGTTTCGTTTCCTGTACAAGGACGTTCAGCCAGACCGACAGATTCGTACCGATCATGTGCATCAGCCCGAAACGCGCGACCACCCGATGACGGTAAACTTTCATTTGCTGTCAAAGAGAACGGAGATTAAAGTCTGCGAGAGATTCGGGGAAAGGAAAGAGAGTGGTTGGTGCAGAGGAACGGAGGAAAGAGAAATGGCCCTCGAAGCGTGACCAGGGAATGCCAGCGATCGATCAGACGTCGGTGCAGAATAATTTGATAATCGTTCGAACGGATCTCTCCGGGGGCCGGGAGCCAGAGGTCGAAGTCATATTTAGAGGACGTTAAACGATCGGCGAGCTGCCGGGATTCCCGATCGAGAATCCTTCAACGGGAAGTTTTAATCAAAAGCGGTCGAGTGCGGCGAGAGATATTCATCTGTCGCGGGGCAAAGGAAAGAGCAAAGCTGGCCAGGGTAGCTCGACGGACGACTCGTGTTCCAGTATTAGTTTCAGGGTTGTTCACCCTTCCGTTTCATTAACCTTTCCAGCCGAGCTTCTCGTTTTGCATCGACGCTTTCGCTCTTTCATTACGTGCCGCGCACCGATCTCTGCACCATCCATGCCACCGTTATTTTTAGCCCCTTCACCTACTGAGCATCCACTCTCCCCGTGATTTTCACTTAACCGTCCCCTTTTACGCAACATCTTCTGCGTGAAAAACGACCAACCGAATCGCCGCCGTTCCCTTGTCTCTTCCGAAGGACTTCCACAGATCCCTAAACTTCCATACGTTTACTGCAACGCAGCTTCGCTATTTTCGTCCACCTGGCTTCTCTCACATGCACCATAATGGCTGCTCTAGGGTTCGCGGTTTGGTACCGCATCTCAACATTTATGTGCTCAACCTGACTTCTAAGAATTAAACCTATATAATTGTTACATGTATATACACGCGGTGTATAGATTTTCTGGGTCTGAAGAGAGTGCAAGCTAAGGTGCATTTTTCCAAAAGATTTAATCTCATCGGCGGAAAGACGAAAGAAAGTATCGGCTCAGTCGATCGAGTCTTGACAGTCTATCGAAAACCATATTCTAAGCAAGTTGAATAAAGTCGTAGTCTAAAACAGTGTTCAATTATTTCAATACCTTTGAATACAAGAATTCCTTTATTTTGGCAGGATGTGAACAACGCAATAATAAATATATTTATATTTGTATATATATGTGTATATATTATATATAATATAGGAAGAAACATGTCGACACAACTAGCTCTAAACACCGAGAGGATCCATATCTTGTTTCCCTTTTCCCTTCGCTTTATCCATCTTGCGTTCCCTTTGCTCTCAATCCCGTATTTACAGCCGCCTCGCAATCGAATTTACATCTTACAAAAGAATCAACCGGTTCAACTATGCAGCCTAGACTCGCGGTATCGCTGAACGTGATCGTTATCGACGAAGAAGAAAAGCGTCTATCTCGTGAAACGCGCGTGAACTAGAAGAAAAAGTGTCTCTACTGAAAATGCTTTTACCCTTTCGATGCTCTTTCGTTCCCATCCTCTCTCTCTCTCTCTCTCTCTCTCGATCACTCTCTTGTTCGCTCTTCCTCTCTCCTGACCATTCGATTTGCTCCCGATGGACACGCACATATCGCTACGCAGCGGTCGCACACAACACGCGGAAAACAGTCATACAGGCGCATTCTCGCAGAACAATAGTATCGCATACCGGTCGATCAGGGTACGACCCGATTCGATTCGCACTGTCGACGGATCGATCTCATCCAAGCGACCGTCTGTTGAGCAGAAATTGTACGAAACACACTCGACCAGCTCGTCCCGGCGTATTCCTTCGAGGTTGCAATCGATCGCGATTATTTCATCCCCCTTCGTTCGTCCATTTTGTTCTTCCTTCTAATTATTCGCAGCTTGGACAGCACACTCGACGGATTAAGGCTTAATGATATGATTCGCCATTGTACTCTGTTCCTCCTTCGAACGTTATCTTCCTATCTCTCCTTATACCTCTCTCTCTCTCTCTCTCTCTCTCTTCTCTTTAAATTTTTTCTTTATTTTTAAATCATCCCCTATCGTCTCTCTGAACCTATGGGAGTCTGCTTTTGCATTATTGTCACCGTTCGTACGATCCTTTCCGGACACTCGTGGTAAACGCATCTGCTGGTGCTTATGGTGTATGGAAACGGCTGGAAATAACGCACGAAGCATCGACTCGGTGCTATCTTTAAAACTGATCTCTCCCATTCCCGCTTCGCTCCGATATTTCGAATTTAGATTCGCGGCTAACATGCAACGCCCCGCGAGGAACCGTTAAAAATTCGTAATTTCGATGTGATTCTAGTGGACGTGTGTAAGGATAACCGTTGGCTGCCTGCATGCTCGAAATGCGAACGATCGATCGATCGCCAGACGTTGGCAGAATCGCGAGAAACAGACTATACCTACAGAGACATGTCATCGTACCGAGTCATACGACGCGTCGCGCTTTCGCGGAATAGCTTACCGACTTCGCGTTTACGTTTTGTCGAGTAAAGTGATTTAGTACAACGAGAACGAGTCTACGTAATAACAATATAAAAATCTATTCGGGATCTATAAAAATCTGACCACCCTTGTCAGGGTTTCGCAATCGGGTTAATCTGTTTCTCACGATCGATAGATTTCCTCCTATTTTTCCTTCCTTCGTCTTCATTCCTCTTTCAATTATCTTTTGAATTATCTACTTGGACACGAGAGACGCTACGTTAAGTTGCAGTTTTGTACTACGTGGAAGACGGATGTCCGTGAGAGTATTCGAGTAACATCGAAGGACAGATCGATCAGGGGTTCACTGGGTAAACGCGGATTATTCCTTGGTCGACTTGCGTGAGAAACGGAATCGTTCTTCTATCACCATAACCATCGTCCTAATGGTTGCTTAGATTTCAGTCTTACAAACGTTCGCGATTCGAGGAAGGAGGAAGGGAACCCTCTCTCCGACTCTCTCGCATGCACGCACTCTTCCTCTCATTCGCCATTTTGATCAGTAGAAAATCGCCTTAACGCTTACATATCGAACAGAAATCATATTGTTCCCGGGAGAATCGAAGGAACAACCGTTGCTTCGACGATTCTAAGCGACTAATCGTCTACGTCTAACCTCGGTAAAAATTGTGCGTCGTTAATCGTGCCTCCTCCACGTTCTTTCCTCTTTCCGTTCGCTGCCTCCGTTGCTACCCTCGCTCGCGAAAGGCCTCGAGGTGCACGCGCGCTCGATCGCGGTCCATTCTCGAATCCTTTCACGGACCAACTGTGTATATACATCGCGTATCGGGATCGTGTTCGTGACGCGAGGACGATTCGACGAAAGCTTACGACTATCTAAACGCTGACGAATTAACGCAACCCCTCGACGATCCGAAAACAAACGCCGACCACGTCTCCTCTGCGATTCGCTGGGCCCCATCGTACGCTTCACCCGCGTCGAATCGCGCCGTTGATCGACCTGGAACAACGCCTGCCGTGCAACCGATTCGTGAACACCGGTGCGCTTAAATCGTTTCAGCAGCCTTGCAAGACCTCGGGTGTGCGGGATGCGACGAAGAAGAGACGAAAGGACGTGGACCATCAGCCATCGGCTATGGTAGCGAGAAGAACCGCTGCGATTACATGAAGTAAACAGGATCGTTCTCCGCGATGGCGTCCAGCCTGGCCGGCAGGGTTTTCGGTCGCTGAGGAGCCACGGTCTTGTGCACGACCTCACGGGACCCCTTGCGTCACATGTAGGTAGGTTTCACCTTGTACGCTCTTTTCCAGACCTCGCATAGGCAAACGGTGCTGTGGAACCTGTAGAAGATCGCCAGGGGCATCGAGACGTGCGTGATGATCGTCCATGCCCACAGGCCGTAGAAGTGCAGCTGCACAGGGTGCGACTCTGCTCGCGACTTCTCCAAGGTGTTGATCGCCCACATGGCTAGATTCGTGACCAACAGGAACGTCACGATCTCTCTGCCCGGTTTCCTTCTGATCTGCTTCGCCGTGGCGACCGATCGCCTGGACGCGTCTAGGATGAAGATGGTCTGAAAGGTGGTCTGCAGCACGCTGGCCAGGGCTGTGACCAGCACCAGGACCGTGTGCTTGGCCAGGGTAAACTGGGCACCGATGATCGTGAACGTCGAGTAGATGAACATTCCCGTTTGCGCGGCTACCAGCAGGATGTTGTCCAATTCTAGGTTCCTGTTGCCGTCGTAACGCAGCTTCCGCATCTGGAACATCCCTATCAGCGTGGCCATCGTTGACATGCCGTAGAGGGTGAGCTCGCAGACGTTCACTTCTGTCACGGCGAAGCTGACTAATTCTGGACGCGATATCAGCACGAAGAACAGGATCAGGGATATGATGGTTAGCACCAGGATCAGGATGCCCACGAACAGACCTTTGTGAGCGCGGGCGCAGTCCACGCTGTAGTGATGTGGCGATCTCCTGAAGAAACGAAGCGAGGTTAAAATTGGTGAATAATCGTAGATCGGTATTGGATAATTTCGATCTTACTCGCGGATCCCCTACGATTTACCTGTAGGCGTGAGCCTGGTGTCGCGATCCCGGCGGCGTCTTGGGCTGGGAGAACGCAGCCTTGGATATGTTCTTCCACATGACGTAGAGTATCGCGGCGCAGATCAAGCTGTACTCGATGGTGCAAGGGAAGAGGAACGGGCTGGCGTCCTGGACTAACGATCCCATTATGTTCGTTCGTCGGCACTCGTACATGTGATGCGGACCTTTCAGGCCCCTCGGGAGCCTCAAGTGTTCGCCGTGGTGGTAATGATTATGTCCCCCGAGGTTAAGATTGCTCTTCGCACCTAATTTCGTTTCAACTTCAATCTCCGTTCGACCTCGTTCATCCGAGCTTCGTTATGCTCGTGAGACGGCGTGATTATCTAGATACTAGCGGCTACGTGTGCATGCAACCTGCGACTCCTACCTAATCTGTGGGAGATCTTCAGCGTGTTGTTCTCCGGGTTGTAGAACGTCAATATCTCGTGTTTCGTTTCCTGTACAAGGACGTTCAGCCAGACCGACAGATTCGTACCGATCATGTGCATCAGCCCGAAACGCGCGACCACCCGATGACGGTAAACTTTCATTTGCTGTCAAAGAGAACGGAGATTAAAGTCTGCGAGAGATTCGGGGAAAGGAAAGAGAGTGGTTGGTGCAGAGGAACGGAGGAAAGAGAAATGGCCCTCGAAGCGTGACCAGGGAATGCCAGCGATCGATCAGACGTCGGTGCAGAATAATTTGATAATCGTTCGAACGGATCTCTCCGGGGGCCGGGAGCCAGAGGTCGAAGTCATATTTAGAGGACGTTAAACGATCGGCGAGCTGCCGGGATTCCCGATCGAGAATCCTTCAACGGGAAGTTTTAATCAAAAGCGGTCGAGTGCGGCGAGAGATATTCATCTGTCGCGGGGCAAAGGAAAGAGCAAAGCTGGCCAGGGTAGCTCGACGGACGACTCGTGTTCCAGTATTAGTTTCAGGGTTGTTCACCCTTCCGTTTCATTAACCTTTCCAGCCGAGCTTCTCGTTTTGCATCGACGCTTTCGCTCTTTCATTACGTGCCGCGCACCGATCTCTGCACCATCCATGCCACCGTTATTTTTAGCCCCTTCACCTACTGAGCATCCACTCTCCCCGTGATTTTCACTTAACCGTCCCCTTTTACGCAACATCTTCTGCGTGAAAAACGACCAACCGAATCGCCGCCGTTCCCTTGTCTCTTCCGAAGGACTTCCACAGATCCCTAAACTTCCATACGTTTACTGCAACGCAGCTTCGCTATTTTCGTCCACCTGGCTTCTCTCACATGCACCATAATGGCTGCTCTAGGGTTCGCGGTTTGGTACCGCATCTCAACATTTATGTGCTCAACCTGACTTCTAAGAATTAAACCTATATAATTGTTACATGTATATACACGCGGTGTATAGATTTTCTGGGTCTGAAGAGAGTGCAAGCTAAGGTGCATTTTTCCAAAAGATTTAATCTCATCGGCGGAAAGACGAAAGAAAGTATCGGCTCAGTCGATCGAGTCTTGACAGTCTATCGAAAACCATATTCTAAGCAAGTTGAATAATGTCGTAGTCTAAAACAGTGCTCAATTATTTCAATACCTTTGAATACAAAAATTCCTTTATTCTGACAGGATTTTAACCTGAACCTGGTCTAACTTCGATACCTTTGAATACAAGAATTCCTTCATTCTAACATGATCTTGACTTGAATGCGGCCTAACTTCGATACCTTTGAATACAAAAATTTCTTTATTCTGACAGGATTTTAATCTGTACGTGGCCTAACTTCAATGCCATTGAATACAAGAATTCCTTTATTCCGATAGAATCTTGACCTGAATGTGGCCTAACTTCAGTGCCATTGAATACAAAAATTCCTTTATTCTGACAGGATTTTAATCTGTACGTGGCCTAGCTTCAATACCTCTGAATACAAGAATTCCTTTATTCTGATAGAATCTTGACCTGAATGTGGCCTAACTTCAGTGCCATTGAATACAAAAATTCCTTTATTCTGACAGGATTTTAATCTGTACGTGGCCTAACTTCAATACCTCTGAATACAAGAATTCTTTTATTCTTACAGAATCTTGACCTAAATATTGTTTAACTTTGATATTTTTGAATTCAAGAATTCCTTTATTCTATCAGGATATTGACCTGAACGTAGCCTAACTTCAATACCTTTGAATACAAAAATTTCTTTATGCCGACAGGATCTTAATCTGTACCTGGCCTAACTTCAATACCTTTGAATATAAGAAATCTTTTATTCTAACAGGCTCATGACCTGTATGTGGCTTAACTTTGATACCTTTGAATACAAGAATTCCTTTATTCTGACAAGATATTAACCCGAACCTGGCCTAATTTCAATACTTTTGAATACAAAAATTCCTTTATTCTGACAGGATATTAATCTATACCTGGCCTAACTTCAATACCTTTGAATACAAGAATTCCTTTATTCTGACAGAATCTTAATCTGTACCTGACCTAACTTCAATACCTTTGAATACAGGAATG